GTGTGTGTGTGTGTGTGTGTGTGTGTGTGTGTGTGTGTGTGTGTGTGTGTGTGTGTGTGTGTGTGTCTATATATATATATATATATATATATATATATATATATATATATATATATATATATATATATATATATATATATATATATATATATATATATATATATATATATATATATATATATATATATATATATATATATATATATATATATATATATATATATATATATATATATATATATATATATATATATATATATATATATATATATATATATATATATATATATATATATATATATATATATATATATATATATATATATATATATATATATATATATATATATATATATATATATATATATATATATATATATATATATATATATATATATATATATATATATATATATATATATATATATATATATATATATATATATATATATATATATATATATATATATATATATATATATATATATATATATATATATATATATATATATATATATATATATATATATATATATATATATATATATATATTCGGCCATCCGCCTAAAATATACAAAACATCATCAATGGATCCATCAAAACATGATACGACACGGAGTAAAAACAAAATCATCAGCTAAACAATAAACTCCCCAAAGCCCCGTGTTACGTATCAGAGCATCCATACGACTCGACTCGCCACTATCCAAGCTAGTTACGCACCTGGATTATCTGTACTTCCGAAGAAGCACAGACCATAACAACAACAACAATAAGGGGTGAGAAATCATGATCAAAATATAGCGGTAATAATGTACATGAATTAAAAGGTAGTAACTAATGAAATTAGCATTCAACATACATCAATCCGGACCTACTGTCCCACACCAACACAACACGCAAGCCAATGCAACCATATGCAACACAACACTATGATATGTGGTACCGACTCACTGGTTCATTCAATCGAATCATGATAGATCGCATACACCCACCAATGGCAACGATCTATCCCCACTATGCGCCCCTTCGGAGTACGGGCAATCAAACCCGGGTAGATCACATACACCCACCAATGGCAATGATCTACCCTCACCAAGCTCCCCTTCGGAGTACGGGCAATCAAACCTGGAATAGATCACATACACCCACCAATGGCAATGATCTATCCCTATCATGCTATGCACACACCAATGCACAACAATAATCCAAGCACACAAGGTGCACACGATCCATCCGATCACATCACCCAACATCATATATACATATTGTTCATCAATTAATCATTTTAATTAAAGTCACACGATCCCCCTGATCCCATCACCATACATCATACATATATTACACGCCAATCAATTATGTTAATCAAACTAAATAACAGGGAAATCTACGTTTGAACACCGAGTACGCATGATCCTCCCGATCATCTCACTATGCATCATATATATACATATATATGTCTTACCCACCAATTAATTATATCAATTAAATTCCATATTCAATGATTTCACCTTTCAACACCAAATATACGCTCTTCACCCCTAAACACCATACAGGTCTCACAACTCAATCTACTTATTCCAATTAACTTTGATCACTACATAGTTTCACCTTTTAATGTTAAGTATGCACTCTTCACTAATAATCACCATATATATGCTGGTTTAGTCACAACTCAAGGAATACTACAAGACAACAGAACCACCCTCAATTGATCCATGGTTTAGTTACTATTTAATTAAACAATGACTTCCTAAACATATTGGATATAAAAATATTTGGCAACTAATTGTATTATCTATACTATGTTATAGATCTATTCATTAGCTTTCCAACGCTTCGAACGGGAACTAAAACCGACTTACGGATTAAAAGTTATGGCCAAAATCGTCGGAACAGAAATTTCCAATTTTCAGCTTTTATACAGCATGCAATTGATTGATGTATTAGTGCAATCGATTGCTTGACTCAATTGTTCACATTTTAGCCACTCTTTTGATGTGCAATCGATTACTCACTTGGTGCAATCAATTGCTTACTGTAGGTTTTCGAAAAATTATGCAGAAAATTGTATTTTTCATCAACTCTTCCCTCTTTGCTACCAAAATCAATCCCCACATGTTAGGGTATTTACCAAACTCGAAAATCCACTAAATCATGAGTATTCTATGGGTTTCCTTCCTACATAAACTTCTACTGTTCAGAATCGGCAACACTCTCTGAAATCATCCAATTTTACCCAAACAAGTTCCCACTGCACCAAACTAACGTTCCACGATTTAGCTACAAAATCTATTCTAGATTCTACCCAATAAAACATCAGCTCTACTAATTAACTCATTTTCGACTTAAAAATGCGAACATCTCAAACATGATCATCAATCTACCATGAGGTTAAGGAAATCCCCTTTACCTAGAATTCATGCAACAACCAATTTCGACCCGTTTCTCCCCCCTTACCTCGATAACTCGATCAAATTGCTGAAGAATCCGAAGAATGATGATCATAGCCTTCTTCCTCCTCCTTGATTCTTCTCTTCAATCTCTCTCCTCCACTCTAGACCGTGTTCTTCTCTTCTTCTATTGTTCCTCTTCTTCTCTTTCCAATATTTCCTTTTTCAACTCAAAATACCCCTTTTTCTATTTTTATTCACTTATTAATAATAATAATAATATTATTAATAATAATAATAATAATAATATTACCATTATTTATTAAATTATTATCACTAAATATCATTATTAATATTAAAGTCCAAAAGCTTCAACTAATCTCCATACTTAAGGCCACTCTCCACGCACTCAAACACACCCCTACAAAAGTACACCGAAAATAAAATAACACAGAAAAGACTAGATAATTAAAATGGGTGTTACAATGTTACCGTGTTGAATTGGATAAAAGCTGGTGTGATTGTGGAAAGTTTCAAGCATTCCGTATGCCTTACTCTCATGTCATAACAGTTTGTTCGAAGGCGCGCCAGGACCCAACCAACCTTCTTTCTGCAGTTTATCGAGTGATAAGTCTATGCAATGTCTACACATGCAGCTTTCAGGTGGTGGAAAAAGAGGACTATTGGCCTCAATATGAAGGCGAAATTGTGTGGCATAATGGCTTGATGCGCAGAAAGAAAAAGGGTCGGCCTAACAGCACACGCATTCGAACAGAGATGGATACCGCAGATAAGCTGGTAAGATTGTGTAGTTCGTGTCGGCAACCAGGTCACAATCGTACAAAATATCCTAACGTGAGATCAAATAGCAGATCATAGTTTTCATATGTAATATTGCCCCTTTAAATCAATAGTAAATTTCATTTGATTTACATCATAGTTAACTGACATAACAAACAACATAAAGACAGAACATTGCACCAAGGGCAACATAAATTAAACAAACATAACAACAACTTAAAGACATAAAACAGAACACTGCACCAAGGCGTCTACGATATCACGACCATCAACTTTATCTTCTTCGGTGTTAACATCATCACAAGGACATCAACATCATTTTCCACTTTTCTCCATTCACGAGTAACTCCGTTTCTCCCGGTCTCCTCGACCAACCTCTCAATTTTCCTAATCTTTTCTCCTGGACCAATATCTCCTTCTAGCTAGCGGTTCAGTTCCCTGTGCAAGTGCTCCAACGTCTGCGTATTCCACAGGAACATCTTCATCGGAGGCTTTGTTGCTGAAAAGACAACTAGGACATTTCTTTTCATTATATCGAATGTTGGAAAGGGTTCCTCCGATGCTGATGACGAGGACGAAGAACGTTGATTTAGAAATGCAGACATTCTAGACTCCACTCCACTCAAAATGCACTAATGTAGTCTTTTGGTATACAATGTTGTGAAAACATATATGTGTTTGCAGTCGTATTTATAGAAAAATAAAATAGTACGTGCCCCATATGATATGTCTTAAATACCCTTACAAAATTTATACACTTTATAATTCAATTGTTAATCAGTTTTTATGTTTTAAAATTTATAATTTAAATCAATTTATATGCTTTTAAATTAAATTGTATTTAAATTAATTTATAATTAAATTTATAATTCAATGTTTTAAAATCAATTTATAATTCAATGGTTAATCAAATTTTTATTTTGTATTTACATTAATTTATAATTAAATTTATAATTCAATGCTTTAAAATTAATTTATAATTCAATGATTAATCAAATTTTTATTTTGTATTTAACTTAATTTATAATTAAATTTATAATTCAATGCTTTAAAATCAATTTATAATTCAATGGTTAATCAAATTTTTATTTTGTATTTACATTAACTTATAATTAAATTTTTAAAAAATTTATAACTTAAACATAATAATTATTAATTATTTCATAAATATTACTTTAAAATATTACTTAAATTTATTAAACTTTATTTTAAATAATTCAATGGTTGTGGAATAATAATATAGTAAAACATAAAGGAACCCTAAACAGTCAGTTTTCTTCACAGTCGCCAATTCTTATGGCGACTTAATGCAAGCTCAAAACGTGAGTACAACAATGTTGTCAATCCAAACGGCGACTAACTGTTCAACATTAGTTGATTTGGAAATTTTTTTTAAAACTTACTTTTATTTGATAATTTTTAACTAATAGTTTGTTATTCTTAAAAAAAAATTCTAACTTCAGTAATAGACAAAAATAAAAGAACACAAAATTAGTTGCATGTTCGGAGTTTAGGTTAGTATAGATTTTAGAGTCATTATAGATTTTTTACTAAGGAGTATGGGTGAGCACTAACAAAGAGAAAGCAGCAATCTGTCGTAACCTTGGACGAGTCAGCAGAGTTTGATTATACGCATACATTCCCAAAAGAATTAACTAGTGTAGCCATTTCCAAAGAAGCTTCTCTCTCAACTCCACAATTCATCCTCATTGGTGTCAGCATCGGCGCTGGCACAGTGGGCAGGTACTTGTTGCCTCACAATCTTCGCCGTTTTTTTGCTTAAGCCAAACCCTAATTCGAGAGACAATGTGGCCGGCTACTGTTTCTTCTACCCCTAACCCTTCCTTCTTCCTATTCCTTCCCTCTAACAACAAACCCTCTCTTTTTCATCCCACTCCACGCCGCCTCCACCTCTCCCGCTCTTCTCCCGATTTCAACGGTTGGGCCCTCCTCGAGACACCCGCTCGCCCCGCATCTTCCAACAAAGATTTATCATGTTCCGCCCTGGTAACTGTTGGAGCTTCCCTCGCTCTCATGCTTGCCTGTTTCTCCTTATCCAGAAAAGGTTCGTCGTTTATGTTTCAGCTTAAGCCTCTACAGTTGCTGCTGTTCAACATTTAATTTGCTCTGCGTTTATTTAGGTTTCAATGTTCAATTCACAAGCCTGTTGCAAGGAATGTGGAGTACAGTTGCTAATACTCGCCGTCGATTAGACGAAGCTGTGGAGTTTTACGAATCCAACGGGACCACCATAGAAGCTGTTACGGAAACTGGTAAACACCACATTTGTTGTGATTGTGTTCATTTTTTATATTTAATTTTGCTTTACTGCTACCAATCTTGTGGTTTTACCCTTAAATTTGGTCCTTGACATATGAGACCACATGTGTTGCATCAGGCCACAAATCAACATCTTAGGTAGCAAAAACTTAATAGCTATGCACCTTTCACTGAGTCAAATTGAGGCAAAGACCAAAATGAGTGTATACTCTAGTTTTTTTTTCATTCAATTATTAAACTACTATTACTGACAGCTAGACTTTGATATTCATTGAGAAAGGACTAGATAGAATTGAGAGAGAATCTAAAACTGAATTCTGTTCTTAATCACAATCTAATTTGGCTACATGTTATATATAGTTAGAATTGTAACTAACTATTGAGTTGATGTTTCAATTTCAATTGTCATAGCTAATTGATCATAACAAAATTAGTTAAATAATGCGAAGAGCTGGCCAAAGTCAATTTTCCTAAACCAACTAATGGCATACTAACATTATATTCCTAATAGCTCCCCTTCAAATAATAGCATGGTTGACCAAGGGACAACTTGTCAAACCCTCTGAGTATGTCCCTCAGGAAACTAAAACTTGCTGAAGACAAATGTTTTTATAAAAGCGTTATAGTTTTGATACCTTAACCACTGTCCTTAATGTTTTGGTTATCATTTTCCTTCATGTTTTTAAAATTATCAGGATCTAATCATTGCTCTTGAATACTCATGTTTTGCTATTTTTTTTGGGTCTAAATTCAGATATTTTTCATTGCTTCAATAGTTTATTATTTTCTTTTTAAGATTAAGGTTGAATATCTGCTTTCTGTCTGTGTTGTATATTTCTCGAAATGTCTTCATCTTTTTTTACTCTTCATATCAGAAGCTACTGAAAAGCCAGGACGAGTTACAATACCCGTTTCAGTGGATTCCACCCAAGAAGAAGCATTGTCAGTCTTAAAGAAGTTGAAGGTTTGATTTCATTATAGTATAATAATAATAATAATAATAATAATAATAATAATAATAATAATAATAATAATAATAATAATAATAATAATAATAATAATAATAATAATAATAATAATAATAATAATAATAATAATAATAATAATAATAATAATAATAATAATAATAATAATAATAATAATAATAATAATAATAATAATAATAATAATAATAATAATAATAATAATAATAATAATAATAATAATAATAATAATAATAATAATAATAATAATAATAATAATAATAATAATAATAATAATAATAATAATAATAATAATAATAATAATAATAATAATAATAATAATAATAATAATAATAATAATAATAATAATAATAATAATAATAATAATAATAATAATAATAATAATAATAATAATAATAATAATAATAATAATAATAATAATAATAATAATAATAATAATAATAATAATAATAATAATAATAATAATAATAATAATAATAATAATAATAATAATAATAATAATAATAATAATAATAATAATAATAATAATAATAATAATAATAATAATAATAATAATAATAATAATAATAATAATAATAATAATAATAATAATAATAATAATAATAATAATAATAATAATAATAATAATAATAATAATAATAATAATAATAATAATAATAATAATAATAATAATAATAATAATAATAATAATAATAATAATAATAATAATAATAATAATAATAATAATAATAATAATAATAATAATAATAATAATAATAATAATAATAATAATAATAATAATAATAATAATAATAATAATAATAATAATAATAATAATAATAATAATAATAATAATAATAATAATAATAATAATAATAATAATAATAATAATAATAATAATAATAATAATAATAATAATAATAATAATAATAATAATAATAATAATAATAATAATAATAATAATAATAATAATAATAATAATAATAATAATAATAATAATAATAATAATAATAATAATAATAATAATAATAATAATAATAATAATAATAATAATAATAATAATAATAATAATAATAATAATAATAATAATAATAATAATAATAATAATAATAATAATAATAATAATAATAATAATAATAATAATAATAATAATAATAATAATAATAATAATAATAATAATAATAATAATAATAATAATAATAATAATAATAATAATAATAATAATAATAATAATAATAATAATAATAATAATAATAATAATAATAATAATAATAATAATAATAATAATAATAATAATAATAATAATAATAATAATAATAATAATAATAATAATAATAATAATAATAATAATAATAATAATAATAATAATAATATTATTAATATTAATAATAATAATAATAATAATATTAATATTATTAATATTAATAATAATAATAATAATAATATTAATATTATTAATATTAATAATAATAATAATAATAATATTAATATTATTAATATTAATAATATTAGTATTAGTATTAGTATTAGTATTAATATTAATATTAATATTAATATTATTATTATTATTATTAATATTAGTATTAGTAATAATAATAATAATAATAATATTATTATTATTATTATTATTATTATTATTATTATTATTGTTAGTATTTTTTTGGTATAGGAGTGTTATCTGTTATTTTTTTTGATATACTGAAAATATGTTTTTTTAATATATTCACTTTTTTATTTTGACATGTGAAACTTAGTTCTCCACCTTAATTAGTTCAATGTACTGGCAGTTGGTAAACATCACTCGAGTCTTTTGTTATAATTTTGGTTTTGCTGCTGCATATCTATTTAGTTTATTTATGTATTCCGGAAGTAAAGATAAAGCAAGCAAGAAATGTTCATTTGGATAGTATGCACTATTTTTGTAATTTATTCTCTCAGCTTGGCTGTATTCCATTATGGTGCACTCAAACTATGTGCTATTTTTGGACTCGGGTGGAATTGTAGGCTTGAAATTATGGTTTCTGCTGATTTATCTAGATAATTGAAGATGATGTGGAAGCTAATGAATTGTGTACCAGAAGAGAATTTGCTCGATGGCTTGTTAAATTAAACTCGTCTCTGGAAAGGTTAGTTCCTGTGCATCATGCATGTAACTTCTTTTTCAGGAATTGATTTAGAGCTCAAACATGTAGGTTTGCGTGGCTTCCATTAAAAATGGGTTTCTTTGTCTTCCAGAAATCCAAAACACAGGATTGCTCCAATTGTATCTCTGTCTGGCTCTATAGTTACTGCATTTGATGATATCAATGTTGATGATCCAGATTTCCAATCAATTCAAGGTGAAAAAGTTATGAAACTTAACTCGAACCAAAAATCAAGTTTCTTACATGCAGAGTTTTGAATGATTTATAATTTTGCCAATTCGATGCTAAAGTCTTAGCAGAAGCCGGTATGGTCCACAGCAAATTATCTTGGAAGAATAGTTCTAATGGTTGTGGATCTGACTGTAAAGAAGATATAAATTTTTTTCCTGATAGGTAAAATTGTATTCCATCACTCTTTTACACTTCAAAATCAAATTACGTTGTACTAAATGGAAGATATGTCAAATGCAGATTCATTTCACGACAAGATCTAATGGAATGGAGAACTCAGGTTGAGTATGGATTTTTCTCTGGGATAATTGACCAGGTAAGCTGTTAAAAGACAAGTATTTAGGGAATTTTTTAAATATGCATGACGAAAAACTTCTCTTGTCTGTCATCTCTTAAAACCTGACTTTTTTACAGTCCAGATATCAATTGAAAAAGCAGGTTATATGGATGTGAAAGGGATAACTTCTGCAGGAGTTTATTTGGACATGTTGGCAGGAGATAGTAGTATACTTAGAAAAGTTTTTGGTAAGTCTCTTAGGCTTTCTCTCTATGCTTTGATGTTTCTTTTTCTCTCACTAACAATAACAGTTGATTAACTTATATACGTCAAATTTCTTTCAACTATTATTCCTGGAAGCATGGTCATTGTCTTCGAATGGATGCACTGTGGGGTCATTGTCTTCGAATGGTAGCAGTGTGGTGCTATCTATGCATGGCATAATTTTTTATAGTGTGTGGCTGTCATTTCTAGGACATATGTGGTGGTTTTAGCGGCCATGGCAGAAACAATGACAAAATAACCATAAAAAATGAAACAAGAGTGAACGAAGCCTATTAATTGACTTGACAGTATAAGATTAGACATGATAATATTAGAGTGTTGGGGTAACATCTAGTGAAAAAAAGATGGTGGAAACTAATCTAGGTGCTTTGGGCATGTAGAGAGAAGACCTATATATATGTGGTGAAAACATGTCTTATTTCCAAAATAATGTCAGCTTTATATGGTCTCAAGCAATAAAATAACAGATACTTTACATGTTTGGAAATATTTTCAACTATATCTAACGCTGAATAATGTCCAGCTGTGTGAGCATGATCAAATGAGATACAATACAAATGAACTCCACATTTTCAGCACCCATTTTATGCTTTTATCATTGTCTCTAAACCGGGTTAATGAATGAAGTAGTGCTTGTTGTATATTTCATCTTTTAGGTTAGGGTTATCACTAAGTATCTAGGAGCTTTTGTTTTACAGGACAGAGTAAGCGCTTTCAACCAAGCAAACCTTCAACAAAAGCACAAGCAGCTGTGGCTCTGACAAGTGGCAGAATGAACGAAGCAATATCTGCAGAAATGTCAAGATTAGAAGCTGAGGGTTCTGCCTGGCAAGATGTGGCAAAAGAGATCAGATCTGAGCTGCTTAGCCGAGGAGACATACAGAAGTTTTGGGATGCAAAGCTTAGTGAAGAGAAAAATCACGGTTCTGATATAGAGAGGCTTTACCTTGAGGCAGTCAACAATTTGGTGGAAGAGAAGTTCAATCAAGAAAAGATAAATGCTGATTTTTTAAAAGAACAGACAGCGATGAATTGTCAGAAGCAGATGATGCTTAGTTTGAAAAAAGAAGTTGATGAGATATCAGATAAGCTTGCCTCGGAGAGAGTCATATATGTAGATGAAAAGCAAACTGTACAAAAGTTACTCAGAGATTTAGAGTTGAAGCATGAAGAAATTCTTGACACCAAATCCACACTGGAAGCTGAGAAAGAAGCTCTTCAGATGCTTAGGTAATTTATGACTTATACTTATTTTTATCCTTATTTACAGTCCAGTCGAGTGTCCATTCAGTTACTATTTTGATTTATGCTTCCAAATAATTTTTAGTAGAAACATGTAGAATTTTGCATGATCATGTCTTATATAAAAGGAATTCCAATCATAGGAACTTGTTTGCCAGGAAGTTAGACACTATTTTTTCTTTTTCCTACAATAACAAAACATCGTTTCCCTGTTTCCTAAATATAAATAAATTGTCTCACTGAGCTACATTGGTCAATTGATGCTATTAGTCTATTGTAAAACTCAAGTTTTTAATAATTAAATTATGAATATTATGCACATACATTTCCATTCACAATCATATCTTATATCTGCAATTAATCTTGTCAACACTTGCATCTGAAAAGTTAACAACACATTTTCTTTTTACCATAACAATAACAAAGCCTTTTCTGAGGTCAGCTACATGGGTGAAATTTATATGCCGATGTATATTTTTTTTCAAAAGCCAAATTTTCAACAAAACCATTTAGCACAAGTTTTTTCAATTACTTCTATGAAAGGTTTCTTTGGTTCTACTTAGTGCATAACTGAATGAATGTTGCAGAACTTGGGTGGAGGATGAAGCTAGAAGAAGCCAAGCTCGTGCTGCTGTTCTTTCAGAGGTAGGACGTAGATGGAAATGGGATGACCAAGCTTGAATGTAATGGGATAACCAAAAAGCATACAATCTCTATGCTATCATGCTTCTTGGTACGCGGTCTTTATATGAGAAAAGTAACGGCTTGAGGCTCATGGTAGCCTCAACCTTCGTTTTTGTATACATACATACATACTAGTAATATTGAGGCTCATGGTAGCCTCAACCTTCGTTTTTGTATACATACATACATACTAGTAATAGAATCGAGGAAAACACACGGGGATGTTTGAATTTGGATTTTATACAATTGAGTAAAGGTAATAATCAAACAGTATATGGTAAAGCAAATTTTTACAACTTGTGCAATAAAGTTAAAATTGAGGCTCATGGTAGCCTCAACCTTCGTTTTTGTATACATACTGTAGCGGTAAAAATCGTGAGCGTAAGCTATTGATTAGCTTAATTCAAAAGGACAAGAGTCGCCACCGCACTTTTATTTTATCCAAATCAAGGAAAGGAAAAAGAGCGAACAAAACCAAAGAGTTCTGAAACGAGAACAAGAAACAGAGATCGGGGTAAGGGGGTTGGTTACACAATGGGAAGGTGTTAGCACCCAAAACGTCTATAGTATTCTATAGGAGCCCTTTGAAATATTTACGTTTTTTGGTTTGAAAATGGTTTGTTTGAAAAGAGATTGGGGAGATGAGAAGAGAATTATTTTTTTAGATTTTTGTGTTTGGAGAGACTTATCGCCTCATGCCTACGTACCCACAAAGTGCAATATGGGATTAAAACCCTGTAGTTCGTGGTACAAATGACAAAAATTTGTTGGTTTTGATTGATTTTAGATGTAAAGACAAGTCGTCATTTTAAGGAGAAAACTGCGACTATTCACCCACGAGTATTAAGACAACATCTGCGTCACATAAAAATGGAGGATTTGCTTGGATTATCAACAAGAATATCACTCAACATCAACGTGGAAAATGTCAAAGTCTTAATAATATGGGGAATAGGAGAATTACATCTCAACTATAGAAATGAATCATGTCTAAACTTTTATGAAAAGTTTTTAAAGTGAAAAAGTGCATAAAGGCACAAAAAGAGTTGATGAGTTTTTGTATTTTTTATGTCTTTTGAAATTGGTCAAAGCATGATTAACATTGATTGACTTTTATTAAGAAGAACAAAGTTTGAAAATCACTTGACGAAAGTCAAGGTTTTATTGCGAAAGCGGTTTTGAAGTTTGAAACCAAGAAGGTTTTGAAAGAGGGAGAAAGTTTTGAAAATTTAAGAAGGGGAGGAGATGAAGTGACTATCCTAGAAAACAAAATAAGAGCTAGAGGTAAGAAAGATCTAACCGACTTGTAGCACACTCCATAGCAAGCAAAAAGAATTCCATCCGATTTAAAGCATAAGCTAATGAGCGAGCCAAATAAAGGCTAAGATCCACAATACTCCAAGCATAAGAATGAGAGTCCTAATTCTAAGTCCAAAGGTCCATGAAGTCCAAGGTCTAAGAGTAGTCCAAGAGCATAACCACAAAGTTAACAACACTAAGTTTTTTTAGAGATTTTTTATCCTTTATTAGTGTTTTGAACAAGGTATGGTCCAAGTGGACAAAAGAGAAATGGCATAAACATAAACAAAGATATGATATAAAATGATAATATGGAAACATAAAAGTAAGAAATAAGGAGTAAGAAGAGAATATAAACAAAATTAAACAAGGATATTGTTAGTGAATTAGTAATTAGTGGTTAGAACATATGATCAATGATGATTAATTATTGCACTTTAGACCAAGGTTAATGAAAACTCATTAGAGGATTGATAGAATCAAAGCCTCCTAACAATGATTTTCATAGGTATTGGACTTAAGACAAGCAACTAATCATACTTGGACTTTCAAACATAAGTTTGAGCCACGAATGATCATTTTTCGATTAAGGGACACTTTAGCGCTATGTTAAGCAATCGTAATCGGGTTTATGTAGAAACCACGACTATCTGAGGCCGGTCAATAAAATGTTAGTGTTAATACATGTTAGAGAAGTGATATGTAAATCACTCTCCTAAAACATGCCACACAAAAAGAAAAGAGGTAGTGATCTCATCACAATCAAGATTTTTAATTAATTAATCAAAGGTAATCTATCACTATTCCAAAGTAAGGAGAATTATCTCAATGATTATTCGTCCATAGATTTGAAATAATGAAGATTAAACCACCTTGATAATCAACAATCTATGATCCATGGATTTCATCGATCAAAAATAAAAAGAAGAAGAAAAAGAATTAAAATGAAAAGAAATTTCAATTTGAATCTTAAATCGATTAAATCATCATCAATATCAATCACCTCTCTTGGTGGATAAAATCGACACCCAAAGTCCATTGATATTGATGAGATCTTATCAAAATTCAAGATCCAAAACAAAATTACAATTAATCCAAATTAATATATATTTTTTTTAAATCAATTTTTTAAGAGTTTTCTTTAAAATATAAAACTATTAACAAGACAATGTTAAAAGGCCCATACGACCCAGATCTTTAAGAAAAAGAATAAAAAAAAAAAAAAATAAAATAAAAACAAGTGAAAGAAAAAAAAAGGAAATAGAAATCAGAAAGAAAAAAAAACACATCATCTTCTTCTTGCGTCTGGCACTATTCACCGCCATGGATATCACTTTGAAGCTCTTTCAAATCGGAGCGGCGGGACACGAAAAATACGCGGTTGCAATAGAAATCAAGAGCTCTTCACAATAGTACCAACAGTTCAAAGAAACACAACAAAAAGTAACAGATCGAAACTGACGGTGAAACTCAATCTACCTTCTAATTCAGGTAAACGGTGAAACAGAAACTCTCTTCTTCTTCTTCTTCTTCTTCTTCTTTGAATTTGACCGAATTTGAACTAGTGTTGTGTGATGTTGAAATGTATTGCGGAAAGATTATGAGATGTGGTTGTTATTATTTGGAGCTGTTGTGAATTGATGGAGTTGTTGTTTGTAATTTTTTTTTGAAGAATTTTGGAAGATATATGAACAAGAGTGATGAAGAATGGTGAATTTGGAATTGATGGAAGTAGTTCGATTGAAGGTTGAAGATGAGTATTGGCAAGTTTTCAGCAGGGATTTTCTGGCTTTTCAAGCTTGAGAAAAATGAAGAGGTATGCACCGTATTTATAGATTGAGAGTGAGTGAAAAATGGTTGCCGTTTGAAGCTTTTTTCTGCGTTTTGGGATGCAAGTTATGTGTGACCTGTGGTTGAAAAATCTTCATGTCGTTTTTTATTTGCAAATTAAAGCTCATGACGTCGTTTTGCTTTTTCTCTTTCAGATCACTTACATGACGTGGATGGTCACTTTTTGCAATTGGCTCATGGCTTAGAAACAACTTTAAAAGCTTGTGGGGTCAGCTTGGAGTGTAACAGCTGGAATTATATTAACATGACTCGGAAATATGGCTTAATATGAAGCTTCTCATGGGTACGTTTTGACTTGCTTGAATAAGTATCTCCAGTTGTAATATTACCCTATTTTTTTCAAATGATTTGGAGACTGCATGATTTAGTGGCTGCATTTGTACTCCAGCTTTTGAAAGAACTACTACTTTCTTCAACATTAATTGCACATTTGGATTTATTCTCTGAGACAACCTGAATTTTACTAGGATTGATTTTACTCTCGATGGCATCATTATTGGGCAAGTTCTCTAAAAGGCAGTCATGATCCTTTCTGCTTGAGCATTCCATCTCATTATCATCATCATCATCATCGGAAAGAATTACACGGACACGTTTACGACCAACAACTGCTTGATGCTTGCTAGCCTGTTTTGTCACACTTCCCAACTCTTTGTAACAAACTCAACAACAGCTTGAATGGCTCCTTCGGCAGACTGCTTGATCTTATCACATATAGCTACTGAGCAACCATGAAGCATAGCAACCAGCTCATCCTTCTTCGGAAGTGAAATCCTAATTGTAATACATTGTACAGAATTAGAAGAAATGCAACCAAATCAATAAGAGATATCAAACTCCAGTTGATCAAAGAAGCTATTAGAAGCAAAGAAGGAAGCACGAAACCGAGTAGAAATCTCCCCATCGGATTCGGTGGCAAGACGAAGCAATCACATCGAGATTCAAATGAAACAGTTGGTAAGGGATTGAATCGGTGAAATGAGTTGATTGAATGGCGAAGAAAGTACTTTCCGGCGCATAGAGAAAAACTCGCCGGAAACTACCACCAACTTGCGATTTTGTTGCTGCATGATTTGTTCGTGCTGCCAAATCTAATAAAGAACCAACTCAGGTGAGAAGTTAGAGATTTCACAATGCTGGTATTGCATAGGATACATCCCTGAAGTTGGCTGGGTTGACACCAATGAGGCTCTATTGGAGTTTTGCCATCTATGTTGATGATCACTTTTCGGTAAGTTCTTTGATCCAGATGAATGTAAACTCGCAAGGACACGGGCAATAATGACATGTTCTTGTTCTTCATTGTTTTTAGACTCGGAAGAAAATGAGGATGAAGTTGAGGAAGATAACTGATTCTCTGACAATTTTCTCAATGCAGACCAAGCAGCTATTGCCGCATTTTTCTGAGCCTGTTAGCAAGATGTTGCTCATTTACTCTCCTCCTGGCTAGAGACATATCAATCTTCTTAATATTTCCAGCAATACGGATATCCTCGGGATCGGTATCAAAGTCTAGTTCCAAACTCCCATCATCATTGAGCCATAAATTGAAGATAATAATTTTAGTACCATGATTTTCAATGTCGTCAAATTGTTTCAAGATTTCTGCTTCTGATCGATATGGAGACCAATTCAGCAATAAAGACATATTAGACCTAAACTGCTCTGGGTGATTTAGTTTTTTTCCACGCATCCAGTTGATGTATTGCACTTATAACTTACCATGGGCACTACAATTTTGTCAAGCTGTGCTCGCGACAAGAATGAATAAGATAGAAGTCCAATGCTTTTAGTACATACCACATCATCAATCATGTGGCTGCTGAAGACAATTGCATCTCTCAACT